TACGAACTGCTCCGTGGTCATCCAGACGGCCAAGTGCTGCAAGGGCTACTTCGGGCCAGACTGCCAAGGTAGGACACAAGGATGGACAGACAGACACACACACACCCCCTGCTGCCGGCAGCCTCTGGCCTTCCCAAGCACCGCTGCATAGCGCCCAGCAGGCTGAATTGAGAGCGCGGGGATAGGGGGCATGAGAAGAGACTGGCCACAAGATGGGGGATCTCTGTTGCAAGAGCTGAAGTAAACAGAAAGCATTATTGCTTTTCCGCTCCAGATAATCTCTTTTTCACATTACAGCAAGTTTTAAACTCCATGCTAGTAGCAAACTAAGGGAACGCTATAGAGAGTAGACTGCTCTGCTGTAACCAAACCTAGCGAGTCTTAATCAGTCACCAGCTGAAAGTCCTTTCAATGCAAAACCAGACATCAGGTTCATGGCAGGACACACCAGAGACACAATGCACAACTCCTCAGCCACCTGCAAGCGCGCACACCACTGGTGCACAAGCTCAGAAATTGTAGCTTTAAGCAGATGTGAGACAGTTTGGGAAGCTTTATCTCCAGCTGTTTGTTAGCAGATACTAATGAACGGCATGCTCCTTCACCTGCCAGCTCCGCAGGGAACAGTACTGAGGGTCTCACCAGGACACGTAGGGTCAGGATCCGGGTTAGGATCTCTGCTGGCAGACAGCTCCCGAGACATGTACGGCCTTGCCAGCTCACTCTGTCTGGATTTCACAGACACATGGGGGTCCCAAGCAATTTTGGGCAGCCCAGCCTCAGCTGCCCTTTGGGCTCACCAGCACATGGAGGTGCACAAGCAAGGCTGGATTTGGGCAGGGGCTGGGCAGTGCCATTCACTGCTGGGTCTGAATGAGCAAGCACCCAGGTAACAGCACCCAGAGCAAGGGCTGAAAGAGTCCACACCTTCCTGACAAGAGTTGCAAAAGTATGTTAAGGAATTTGGGGCAGGAGGCTTGCAATTGCAAATGTCACAGCTGCTTTTGCACACCCCAATAGACATGCGTTTACAGGCCTTTCCCTGTTCAAGGATTTTTACAGAACAATAAATAACAAACAGTGACAACAAATAAATATGCACTTGAGCTAAACAGCCACTTTTTTTTTTTTTAAAAACAAAAAAAACTTTTCAGCTTGCCCAGGGGGCCCAGAGAACCCGTGCAATAACCACGGCTCCTGCGACGATGGGTACGCCGGGACAGGAGAGTGTCACTGCCACAGCGGCTTCAACGGGACTTCGTGTGAGCTGTGTTTGCCAGGCAGATATGGATCCAGCTGCAGGCGTATGTTTAAGTTACCTTTCCATATCATTGCCCATGTCAAGCCTAAACTATTTTGTCAGCAATGAGTTTTTAAGTAAACCAAGAAACACCTCCCACTTTCAACACCACCATTTTTCCCCAGTGCGTCCTCAGACGGAGGGAGGGCACAACATCTCAGAAGGAAGGAGGAAAAGGCAGGTGGAGCAGAGGCTTACATGGTTTTCTCTGCAGGGCTCTTCCTATTCTTGTAGGGTACATAAGTAACAGGCAACAGAGACAGAACCTCCACCAACAAGTGTTTTCAACTACAGCCTTCTCCCCCATTCACGTAAAAGGCAAGACAACATTTTAGCAATGTGGTTCCTCAACGATTGCAGGAGGCCAAGGCCATGCACTGCTTTTGCAGAAGAGAAGAAAAAGGACAGAGATGAAGGCAGTTTGTGAAGAGGGATGGCAGCCAAGAAACTGCTCATATAACCCACTTCACTGTGGTTTTAAGTGTAAACTAGATGGAACCAGGATCAATATCACTTTTTAAACTTAAATGCTTCCCCAACATAAAGCCTTCAGATGCAAAGCTACAATATTAATGCTTCCATCCTAACTGTGTGCACCTGTAGTACTCATGAGGCACCTACAATGGAGGATTATAGGCTAGATACCCTTGCAGTATAGGCAAGACACCAGGCTTAGACACCAACGCTCAGGATTACGCTTACCTACGGTTTATCCATTTTATAGTACACAATAGCATAAACTGTATGAGCTGTTAGTCTGAAACCCAGATTGTGGTATTCTAACAGAAAAGTTTTATAGCCACTTCTTTTTAATGCATATTTATATCAACCAAAAATTAGGTAACCAGGCTAAATGAAATAAAGCCAGAGGATGAAACTCCTTCTCAGCAGGATCAGGTTTTCAGAGAATCAGTTCCCCCAAACCCACATCATTTTCCTCTTTAAACAACAATATTTCAGGAAGAGAGATAAGGCAAGAAAGGATGCTACTTCATTATATTATAAAACAGAGAGCCATCAATAATTCCTTAAGAAGGACTCAGCACATAAGTTATTGCAGGGCCCAAAGAAAGGAGGGAAAAAATATCACCCATAGATTAAATCAGCTCCTCATACTTCAGTTTGCAGGGCACAAGGGGTAACACCCACATACAAGAGCAACAAAAGGAATCCAGAAGATTTTAGCCATAAAATTATCTAAAAACCTAAAAAACACATCCCAGTTAACTTGCCCAGGTTTTACAGCAAAGCTTACTAACCTCATATTTGGTTTCTTTACTCAGACAGACCTTCTCCCAAGCAGCAACCACACACACTCTCTCTCTCTGTACACCTTACTTCTCTCTGGCTAAAAGGCTTCCCCACAGCTAGCAGGTGCTGCACATTAGGACCTGATCAGGCTAGGTCTTCAGCTCAGCTATTAACTCCTTCCTGCCACAGTCCTTTGTAAAATTTGCTACTCTGCTACAATGCAGGTCAATACCCATTTTCATTTCCAGAGGTGCATTGAACTAATGCCAGTTATAAAATCATGGGACCACAGGATAATTCAGGTTGGAAGGGGCCTCAGGAGGTCTCCAGTCCAACCCTCTACTCAAAGCAGGGTCAGCCCTGAGCTCAAGCCAGGTTGTTCAGGATTTATCTTGTTGGGGCTTGCAGACCTCCCAGGATGGAGACTGCCCAACCACTCTGAGAAGTCTGGTCCACTGCTTGACTGGCCTCGCGGTGAAAAAACATGAGGTTAGATTTATCTGAATAATTGCTAAACAATACTGTATCTAAACTGACAGTATAGGTGATCCAATGGCAGCTCTGTAAGTGATCCCTCTGCGTTCCTTTTGCAGCCTGTGAATGCAAGACCAACGGGGAGTGTGATGAAGGATATTCAGGAACAGGACGATGCTTCTGTGAAACAGGATGGACTGGTCAGCTGTGTGAAACCAAGCTAGGTCTCTGCCTCCTCTCACCGGACTCCGTCGCATGGAGCCACGGGTCAAAGCACTTGCAATTTAACAGAGGGTTTGCATAGAGGAGAGAGAGAAAGCATTAATAATGCCAGAAGCCCTCAAAGGAGACTAAGGGACTCCTCTGGACTGAGAACAAGTCCCTTCACCCCCCTGTCTCCTCCTTTGTGAAATGGGAATATGAGTGCCTACCTCCCCTGTGGAGGGGCTCTGGGCTGCATAAGGGAAGGTATCAACTGTGAGCTAAGCAGTCAAAAAAAATATCCTTACAGGTTTTCCAGTTAGCAAGACTGATATGAGGGCTTTTCTTTCTGCATAAAAAAGGGCATTGCAATACAAATAGCACTTTCATCCCAGCTGTTCTGCCTTCCCCACAGCTCTGCCACCAGTGTGTTCCCCGAGCTGCTCCGCCAACGCTGTCTGCATGGAGAACAACACGTGTCAGTGCAAGCCGTTTTACAACGGGGACGGGTTGACGTGCACAGGTGAGCTCCCTTTCCCATTCACAGCCTGCTACGAGAAAGCAGGATGTCCCCTCTCGCACCTGCACCTGCACGCAGTTACCCTCTCCTATGAAATGTTGCCTATCAAACCTAACAGCTTCCACAGTACAGCAGGTGAAACAAATTTAGAATATATACAGATGAGGTTTTTTTCTGAAGCAAGTGGCTGGCTTCACCAGGTTTTACCGAGTAGGAGTATGAGCAAGAAGCGTGCTTCAATCAGGTTTTGGAGACAGCAGGGTTTTCAGCAGTGTTTCACTTAACAGGATTTTCTTTGATGACCTTAGGCGAGGCAGGACCTCAGTAACATCGCTGCAGAAACAGTCATTCTTTCTGAGCCAGGTGTCTTGTGTCCTCCAAAGTCACCCTGGCCAGAGCAGAGTCCCCAGAAAAGCAGCTTTCTTGGGCTGCCAAAGGTGAAGGAGAATCTTGGGGGGGTGGTGTCTCTTAAATCGAGGACATCCCGAAAAGGGCTTCAGAGCCCTGAAGGATAGCCTTCACACAAGTTCGGGAATGCCTCGGGAAACTCAGGTTTTGTCCCAAAACAAGTGTTCTAGTATTTTTAGTGTACCTTAAAAATCTGGAGGTGGTTTGTCTTTGTGAAGAACATCCTCTTTAAAAGCAGACTTTACTCACCTGTTTTCTTTTCCCCCATGCAGCTGCAGACCTTTGCAAACAAAACAACGGTGGGTGCCACAAGGCAGCCGAATGCACGCAGCTCGGGGTGAAAGTCTACTGTACCTGCCAGAAAGGATACAAAGGCGATGGCTTTACATGCCTTCCAATAAATCCTTGCGCCGATGGGTTCAACGGAGGCTGCCACGAGCATGCCATTTGCACTGTCATAGGACCTGTAAGTTGAATGATTTCAGTCAGCCCCAGGGAGGTCCGAGGCATTTCTTCCTGGTGCCAGCAGAAGTCTTTTCTCTGGCTGGATCATACTCCGTACCTCTCAAAGTCCCTGTTTTCCAAAACAACCTTTACATAGCTCCAGCCTACTTTCCACACCAGTTTGGTATCCTTTCAGCTGAGGGGTGAGCAACAGTTTGGCATCTTTTCTCTAGGGAAAGGGGTACTACAGCAGATGGGATATTTTGCATGTCTAATTTTTCTGTCCTCTTCTTAGCTCTCCCTAACTGGATATCCCTATTTGCAATAGGAGTTTATTGGATTGAAACTCAATATATTTTGGTAGCTAAACGTAGGGACAGCTGGGAGAATAATGTCACTTGTTCGTTGGCCAAATTCAGTTTAAAAAGCTCTGCAGCCACATGATACAAATTCCTTGGCCCAAACGGTCAATGTTGTTGAGGAAGACTTGTGCCAGTGACTTGATCCAGCATTTGTCCTGGTGCTTTCAGGATCACCTGTCCATTCCATTTTGGTGGCTTGCCTGATGTGTCTTCCAGAAGCTATTTAGAGAAGCCTTGCCGCGAATCCGTTCCAGCTGCCAACCATCACAATCCCTGGATGTCACCAGCTCCTACTTGGTTTATAGTTCTCAATTTATTACTATCAGTGGACTGCTAAATTCCTTTCATGCTCCAGTGCCCAGTCATTTAAATATCATTTTGATAGGTTTGCCATCCATTTTTGCTAATTACATGTCATATAATTCTCCAATGCATGTTATTAGCTTTGTGGATGGAATTACGCTTTGGTATTAATTCAGCAAAGCACCCAAGAACATGTGGAAATGTTTTGCTTCGAAGAATAAATGTCACCATCAGAGTTTGTGTTCTTTTGAATCACAGTTGTTAGTAGCAACTTTCCTATTTGTCCATTCCTGGCTATTATGAAGTGAAATTTTTCCAACAGTTCAGAATGTTGCTTGAAATACCACTTTTACGTCAGCTAAGTACTCGGCTTGGCCTTTTTTATTCTCTCTCTGACCAGGACAAACGCAAGTGCGAATGTAAAAGTAACTACATTGGTGATGGGCTGAACTGCTCGGTGATGCAGCTTCCTCTCGACCGCTGCTTGCAAGACAACGGGCAGTGCCACCCCGACGCTGACTGTGCCGATCTCCACTTCCAAGGTGAGGATGGCACACCGTGCACGCCATGGGGCAGGGACATCCTCGTCCCTGTGCCGCCGCAGTGAAGCCAGTGGCCCAGTTCTTTGTGTCTGTAAGCTCACCCAGTCCTTTACCTATATCCTCTTGAAACAATGAGATTTAAGCATGATTGAAATTGGAACGTGTGCTTAAATACTTCGCGATGCCGGATTTATGAAGCAACAGATGAGGGCATTCTAGGTAGGAATATTACCCATAAGGGGTCAATCTGTCCTAACTACATTTCACAAAACTCACAGGTAATTGCATGGCACAGTTGACTCTGCATGGAAACCCCCTCAAGGAGAGCTGGTTCTTCTCTCTCTTTGCAGATACCACGGTTGGAGTTTTCCATTTACGGTCCCCACGAGGGCAGTACAAAATGACTTACGAGAAGGCAAAGGAGGCCTGTGCCAATGAGTCAGCCACCATCGCTACATATAACCAGCTGATGTATGCGCAGAAGGTGAGGTAGCCTCACTGCGGGAGGAGATCCCCACAGCAGACCTAGCCACAGCATAAATGGGGAGGGAAGAGCAAGGGGGCTGCTCTGTGCTAATAAGCTTCATTTTCCCTCCTTTCCTTCCCCTGTGCCCCAGGGAGCAGTTTTTAGACTGTTTATTGGTTTCACGCCTGCTCATATAGCACTGAAACCAGTTGCCAAGTTCTTGTTTCCAGTGATCCTGGGGTGAGACGGTAAAGTCACTTACAGAGTGTTTTCATGGGGGTTTTAATCATTAACACTTCTTAAAGAAATGTACACTTCAGAATTATGCTTAGATTGATTTTTTTTTTTTTTAATGTAAGGCTCCAGGAATCTTTTCCTCAAAGGCTGTTAATTTAGCAGAGCCATTTCCATTTTCTTTTCCTTAAGTATGTTATACACAACACATGACTGACATCAGTGGGATGGGCATCACATCTTGGGTTTGTAAACCTTGATTTAGAAGAGTGGGTCAGACTGGCTGTACCTTTCTGGCTCCTTCCCATCTGCAGAAGGAAGAAAGATGCTCACTGCTTAGAGACACCTTTAGCAAAATGTGAGGCTGGACCACGGCCAGCATGTAAACCTCCTTCTGCTGCCTGAGGAGATTCAGATTACAACCAGAGCTGCATGTCCCCTGCACCTCGTAGTCTAAATCAAAGTCGGCAGTGAGGCTGGCTCCAGTGCTCCTGGGGATTTATTTTCTGTGTTGAGCTGGTTTGTCAGCCCTTCCCATGACAAAAGGTGGGCTGGCACATGATGGGATTGCACGTCCCCCTTTGGCTTTCACACCCACCTCTGATCCTGCCTGGCTTTGGGCTCAGGGAAGCTTTTCCCAGGAAAGGCTCCCTTGGCCCATATGGGAAGCCACTGACTTTCAGGAGGGCCCCCTCTCTGCATCCCCTTGGCCCTGAGCTCAGCACAGGGCAGGCTTCAGGACAGATGGACAGAGCCTGCTGAGACCCTCAGAAAGAGGGCTGGCGTGTTGGGTGGTGCCTGAGGGCCCTGGGGGGATCGTCCATTTGCTCCACAGCACCCCAGCCCCACCACCGAGCTCTTCCCGCAATGTTTTTTCCTTATGGCCGTGCCGGCTGCAGGCGAGGTACCACCTGTGCGCTGCTGGCTGGCTAGATGGTGAAAGAGTGGGCTACCCAACTGCCTTCTCCTCCCCAAACTGCGGGTCCGGGTACGTCGGCATTGTGGACTACGGGAGAAGAGCCAACCTGAGTGAAACCTGGGATGTCTTCTGCTACAGGGAGAAAGGTAAGAGGGTCCTTTGCTGCATCCCTCTGCGCAAAGGGGAGCAGCAGCCCAGATTTCGGTTCCTTTGGTCGGCCACAGGCTGCTAGATAACGCTGCAAGAGACTCCGCCTCTTTTTAACTTTAAAAAAAAATCTGTTGCCTGCAAGTTGTTTTTCAGGCACAGGACAGCCTTCTAGCAAAGGGCATTTGCCCACATGGCTATCTGTGTTTGTACCTTCCAGAGGTGAACTGCACCTGCAAGCCAGGCTACGTGGGGGATGGCTTCTCCTGCAGTGGGAACTTGCTGGAAGTGCTGATGTCCTTCCCAACGCTGACAAACTTCTTGTCGGTATGGCCCGCGGCTGGCGCACGGCTCCGTCGGGTGAGCAGAGCAAAGCAGGCTCTGCCACCGCCTTGTATCTCAATGTTTGCTTTGCTAGCAGGTAACACCACCACACCAGCAAAGCAAGGGTGGAGTGGTCTAAATCCGCACTGTCAAAATCGGAACTTAGTCGCTACTTTTTTAATTACTTGCTCTAAAGAGGTTTTGGGTTTCTTAAAACTCATTTGGAAATTAAATGCTACTGCAGCTTTAGCTTTAAGAGGATTCTGTGCACAGCTGCTCCTGGCTTTCTAAGCATCCCAAGGAGTGTCAGGCTTTTTTGTGATTTTATTGAATTGCTGCTGGGGAAAAAGGCATAGCATTAAAAGGGTCCCTTTCTTGCCACTACTCAGAAAGGCATTATGTGTGTCTCACAGAGACAACAAGGGCCCAACTCCTGCAAGTCAGTTTAAGATGTGGTCACCAAATCAGCAGCTAAAACTGGGTTTTGAATACAAACTCCTTCCGTAATGTCACTCCGGAGTTGCTTCGTGGCTATTAATAGAAAGCTGCTTTGTTGTTATTTATACAGTCTCATCTTTTCAGCTCCCTGCGCCGGAGCACGCAATTGCTCTTTAGTAAAGCTGGGTTTTGTTTCCACTTAGGACATCATGGCTTACTCCAACAGCTCTAGGAAGGGGAGAGAGTTCCTGCGGTACCTCACGGACCTGTCAGTGCACGCCACCCTCTTTGCTCCAAACAACAGCGGGTTAAGGGAAAATGAGGTCAGGGTTTTTTCGTTTTTCCTTCCTCGTTGTAATAAGACTTTTTAAAGAGCCATTATGAGTTTCTGTATCCCGGTGAAATTTAAGTTTAAAAAATACAATAATCTTAGTGTGACGTGACTTCTGTGTAACCTCACATAGTTTAAACTGTGCTTCTGAAAGAGGTGAGTTCATCATTTCCATTTCTTTTCCATAGTTAGGAGTATAAGGTTATCCAGTGTTCGAGTCACTACAGAGACTTTTCCATCAGGGATTTTAGTTACCCAGTTATAAAGGAGTCTGCCTGAGATGAAGCTTATTAACATCACGCACAGTTATTTGAAGAAAGCAGTGCACAGCTTTGGTATTTCCCACAAATACATTAAAGGCATCTGTTCCTAGCTTCATTTCTGTGCTTATCCCTTTTTTCCTTCCTTCCTTCCTTCCTTCAATCAAACATTGTCTCAAACAATTCACATGGGTTTATGCCCTGGCTTACACCTTCAAGCTATTTGGAATATCTCGGAGGCTCGTCACTTCAGGTCGTCATACAAAAGAGTAAAATCCTTTGTCCCACCAGAATCAAGGCACTGCCTGCGGCAGGCAGCTGTCAGAGGCCAGCCGGGACAGCAGATCCCACTGTTCACACCCAGATTTCCCAATAGCCTCCGCCCCATATTGCACTTGCTGCAGCATTAATAGCAAAGAGGGAAAAAGGTCACAGGCACTTAGCCTACTGGTAAATCCAGAGGATTAATGAGATCAGTCAACGTTCCTTGTATTTTGCTCTCATTTGCAGACGCTTGCCGGGCGAGACATCGAGTATCATTTATCTAATGCCAGCATAATGTTTTATGAGGACTTGACCAACGGAACCACTCTTCTAACTCGTCTAGGGGAAAAACTCCTCATTACAAACACCAGGGGCCAGGAGTATCAAGCCCCTGCCACTGAACAGGTACCTTTTTAATAAATCTCCCATCTTCGTGCTTTCCCCCCCCCTCATGCTATATCCTGTAATCGGGTGACACATTGATCTGGAGAGCAATTCGGTAAGGTTACAGGGAACAGCAATGAGAGGCTGACTTCAGAAGGCTCTTTCCCGCCCAGAGACTGCAGGACAGCAGCTGGCAAACTGCAAATTCACAAGTTTGCAAATGGCCAAGCTGACCGGCAGAACTCAAAGGAAGCTGTTCAGGTGGCCGGCAGGAATGGCAGGATGGGGATATGGGCTTGATTCAACCCTTCTCTCAGCCTGGCAGGATTATGGGAGATGGCAGAGCGATAGGAGGAGAGATGAGAGCAGCAGCTTATCAGTAAAGAAAGGTGCTGGCATTTGTAAAGTTTCTTGGTCACTTTCTGGGAGAGGCAGGAGATGCCAGCACAGCCTTGCTCAGAGCAAAAGCAGACAAAACAGTGGTTTGCATTTTTTGTTACTATTTCAGTGGTTTTTAAATGCAAAAATTTATATCCCTTTTGCAAATGAGAAGCATTCTTTGACATTTTAGGGGAACACATGCTTTGAAAACATACCAAACTTCTCCTTTTTATTAAGAAAACACTCACTGCCCAAGCATTTCAACTGACCTCTGTGACAGGAACCTCTTGAGACCGAGGCTGGGACTCTGCTGTGGGTGATGCAGTATAGCTGAATCTGAAAATAAGGAACACTGCGTCTGTGGGCTTGCCATTAAAAAGCGCTCTAGAGAATGGCGCTGGACCCGAGGAAAGTTGAGTGCCCAACACGCCAACTGGGGGGGAGATTTTCACAGACACCACCAAGAAGGACATAGGTGCTGCAGGAAGAGGTGCACAAATGACTTATCTGTTGCCTCTGCTCCCTTCCTCCTTCCCCTTTCAGGAGAAACTCCTTTGGCATGAGAATTACCATCTCTATTTTTAAAACCACGCTATACTGCAAACTCAGTAATTGCGTTAATAAAGTAAACCCACATGAGAGATCAGGTCCACCAGCACAAGGCTTACCTGTATCACTCATTAGCATGCCAGGAGCTCTTTTGGATCACTTTGATCTGATATTTGAGTTAGAAGAGATTCTCCTTAAAAAAATCCTCCTTTCTTCACAAGCTGCCAAGGGGAGGCTCTGAGCCCATTAATAGAAATGTTGCTCCTGCCGTTCAAAGCTGGTTGGAAATTTGTAGCTTTTCTTCCTCCCTGGAGGACCTAAGCAAGCCCCTGGTTCCCCCGGCTGCAGTAAAGCTCAGTGGGGTGCCAGGGAGGGAAGAAGAGGTGGCAGCAGCTTTCCACGCACACTCCAGGCAGCCAAGCACCCACTGGTCCCAGCACACCAGGTTGGAGGCCACGAGCTTTCCCCAGGACCCTGGCAGGGCAGCACAGGGGCGAGGGAGAGGGACGAGGACAGGGTGTGACTCCCACATCGCTCTGCGCTGCCACCATGGCTGAGCCCCTTCGTCCCTGGGCACAGAAAATCGCCGTGTGCTCCAGCAGCAGCATACCACCTCATGCCAGGGGCAAGAGCAGGCAGCAGCTCCCGGTTCGGCTCACCAAGGAGAAACCATTTTGCCAGGATGCAATTTAAAGCAGAGTTTGCAATACCGCAGACACCCATGAACCCATCCTCCCAAAACGCTGGAGAGACTCAGGATCGGCTCGCAGTAGTCAAGGACTCCCATTAGCAGCAGAGTCTAGAGAAATGTTGGAGTGGCAATGACTGATCCCGTCCCTCTCCCTTCTCATATTCTGATGAGCTACTAAATGGGACCACCTCCCAGCTCACTGATGCTAGGCCACCAAATAATCTGCAGGCAGCAGCTCCCCATCAGTGTGGACCCAGTTCTCTCAAGCCAGTAAACTCCATGCAAGTGGCACAAAACCTTTTTTTCAAAAAAAAAAAAAAAAAAAAAAAAAAAAAAAGACAAAAAAATGCCTGAAGGCAATATGCAGGTAATGATGTACAGGAGAGCCATGACCAGCCTGGGGCCATCCCACGCTGGTGTCCAGGGAGGCAGTGGTGTAAGCCCTCACCTGATTTTTCTCTGCGTGTCAGTAACTGAGGTGGGGAAATAGTCTCAAGGTTTATTTCAGTCCCAAAGGGAGGAGGGTCAAAGCTCAGCTCTCATCACTCTTTCTCCTGGCAGAGAGAGATCAGATATGTGGACAGAAGTGCTATTGTTGAGTGGGATATAATCGCTTCCAACGGGATAATCCATGTCATTTCAGAGCCTTTAAAGGCTCCGCCAGCACCTGTAAGTACATAGTGATTTATATTTTTTTTTGGGGGGGTGGTGGGAGGTGGCTGTGGCTTATATCATCCCAAACTCATTGCTGACATTCACATATTCCCAGTTTCCCTCCCATATATGCAGTTTCAGTTTAAAAGGTTACTTTGAAAGAAAATTAGAAGTTGAGAACAAGGTGCCAGTAAAGCTTGTTCAAAACGTTTCTGTCTGGACAAGTTCTTCCCACATTTATTTTATATAAATAAAATAAAATTTTTGGTAATGGAGGTTTGATAAAGCTCCATTTCAGCTCTTCCAAAAAGATCTTTCAAGCTTCTGAGGAAATTTTTTTACTCTTGGCTTTGCATTCATTCCTGTCCAAAACAACAAGATGTTTTGAAAATAGATATTTTTTGCCTGCATGAATACCTGCAATGGGCCCAGTTGCCCAATTATCTCTCCCATTAGAAAGGCCAAAGCAAACAGCGCATGGCAGAACAGCACAGTTGAGAAAGGGGAGCCGTCCTTTCCACGGAGGCAAGCCGAGTCAGCGGCTGCACTGCTTCAAGCTGGCATCAAAATGGTACAGGGCCCCGCAGGAGGGAGGCAGGAACATTGCTCTCTTTGCTTCCCACCAGCAAAGGTTACTGCTTTGTATGAAAGGGAGGAAAAGCATTTTGTTCACCTGCAGTGCAACTGGGATGTTTCACAAAAGCGACCCTTGCTGCCCCTGGGAGAGGTGCGCAGTGAGCACCTTTTTTTCAAGTACAAAATGTTTTCCTTAATGAAGTAAGCATTCAGATGTGCAGCGTTAGCGCTCCCCAGCTCTGTTCCATGCAGGGTTCTCTGTGACAGCCCAACACAGGCTCCAGCTGACCGTGCAAGAAGACCCACCACTTACTTAATCTGAAGAAGTTCCCTTCTGTCGGGGTAACTCATTTCTGATCCTTCTCTCCGTGCACTGGAGGGGCCTCGCTTATGTTTACAGCCCATCCACCCCAGCTCTGATTTCGGAAGTGGCTAACCAGCTGCCTCCTTGGTCCACAAGATTAATCCTATCAATACCCTATTTCTCACCTTTATTTTGTTCTGAGCAACCCTTTCTCCTTTACAAACCAGCCTTCTTGTTCTTAGAAGCTCAGTAATATGCTTGCACAATCTCGGTTCACAGAAATCCCTTGCAGCCTACAATTCTCACAAGTAGGCAATGACACACTTGGGTAAAGGCATACATTACTGCCTGAAAATGATTCAAATAGGCAGTTTCTGTCAGCCTACACCAGCATATTACAGCCTTTATAATACCTTTCACATGCTAGAGGGCAACTAAATGTTTTCTAATATTTAGCTGTCCAGCTGCACCATGTAAATTACTTTGTTTTCTAAAAAGTAAATGAAGAGAGCATATCTATTAAGACAACAATGTGATTGTTTTTGCCAGGGTAAGTTTAATAATCAGTTTTCTAGGCGGGAGGCCACAGAGCTAGGGCATCACATGGAAAAGCAAGAGTAAGAGCATATGAATCTGCTACCCATTTCCAGACCCCTCCTCACCTCCTGGCTTGCCAGGAAAGAGCAGAGCACTTTGGAAGGACTGCAGCCTGAGTGGCTGCATGCCCTGGGATCCCTCAAACTTATCATCACCCCAAAACTGCCCGTCACCTTCATATCAGTCTATCAGGCCACAGAGCTGCAGAAGGCAAACCAAAGTCAGAGTCTGAAGGCATTTCTCCCCTTGAGATTAAATCCAGATCAGGTGTGAATTTCTTTCAGTCCTTCACCTACATATTTATTAAAATATTTATGAAATATTATATACAGTTACTTGGATTGGCACTTCACCTGCTTGACTGAAGGATGATTTCAGGTTAAAGGCATTGCATGTTTTGAGGCAAAATGACCTACAGAAGGCAGGTGCTGGGCCGCTGGCGGAGCCCAGCCCTGCACACCCTCTGCACAGGCTGGCAGTCCCTCTAACCAGCGATGAGATGGGCCGCGTCTCAGGTGCGGTTTGGTTCGAGCCCTGGTAAGCAGGGCTCAGAGGACGGCATGGCTGCCGATAGCTGGCAATAACCAACACCTCCCCAGCACACAAAGCAGTGGGGAATAAGCTTGAACCCATGCAGAGCCCTCTAAGGTTTGTAGCACAAGTTTCCAAAGCTGCTTAAGGGAATTTGGTACCCACTTCTCCTCCTCAGGCCAGTGAGGTTTCAGGCTCATCATAGCCTCTATTGCTACTTTAAAAAACCTGGCCAGAAAAGATCACTTAGGCATGCTCTGTAACTTCAAAAACATAAACAAGATGAAGCTGTACTACAGCCAGTGTCCAGTACCCTGAAAAAATTTAATTTGTAATTACTATCAAAAGGCCATATTTAACTGTCTCTAGGGATCACGCACCAGGAAACTCGAGCACGAAAGCAGTTCAGGACTGGGGCATATCTCAAAGGGACACTGCATGTGCTCAGGTGCTGGAAGGTCAACCTACCTGAAAGGAGGTTGTAGCGAGGTGGGGGTCGGACTCTTCTCCCTAGTAACGAGTGATAGAACGAGAGGAAACAACCTCAAGCTGCGCCAGGGGAGGTTTAGGTTAGATATTAGGAAAGACTCCTTCACCGAGAGGGTGGTCAACCATTGAAACAGGCTGCCCAGGGAAGTGGTTGAGTCTCCATCCCTGGAGGTATTTAAAGAACGGATAGAAAAGGTGCTTGAAGACATGGTATAGATGGACTTGGCAGGGATAGGCTGATGGTTGGACTCGATGATCTTAAGGGTCTTTTCCAACCTTGACGATTCTATGATTCTAAGGTCACCAGTGCCCAACCCGTAGCTCACTCACCCTCTCTCTTGCTTCCAGGCTCCTCTCCATGCCAGTACTGGGACAGGAATATTCTTTGGCATCTGCCTGGTTACTGGAATTGTGGCTTTCATTGGATATTCTTACCTCAGGTTCAGGAAGAAGAACACAAGCTTCCAGCACTTCAAGGTAGGTGGCAGACAGGAACGCAAAGCAGGGGGGCAGCATGACCCCAGACCCACCGCGCCTCCCAGACTCACAGCCTCCAATTTCTCCTTGCATTTTATTAAGCTAGAAACATTCCCGATCACTTCCCACTTGAACCACTCAGACTAAGACACAGAGACAGCGGGGTAGGCTCACACACGTATCTTGGGCACAAGCTTCCATTTGCCTACGGCTCCCCCAGACCTCTCCCTCCAGGGTGCCCAACGGGCTCCTGCTCTCACAGACACTTCCAACACCAAGGACCGGCCTAAAGCTTATTCAACTGCACAGCGCCAGTGCAGAAGTCTTTGCCTCACCAGACAGCTCACCCCTAGGGAAGCAGATAATTACAACCACTGAAAGGGCACCTGTTCTCTTCCCCCTCCTCCACGGCATTGCTAATAATTTTGCTGCTCTGGAGGTCGAAATGCTTGATAGGAAAAAGGCCAGATTCAAAAGATAAGCAAATTGAAATGATTGTCAGGATTGAAAAGTGCAAATTTTTATACTGACACGCTCTGATGCTTGCTTTCTCTTAACTAACTTTGCTAGCCTCACATAGTATTGTGATGACATGAAACCAGCCAGCAACAGCCAAGCTACTCGGAGATGAGGGATGACAAAAGAGCGTTACAAAATACACAAAATTTAATCCAAAAGAAAGTCTACCTATAAGTAAGCAGAAATCCCTTCCTATTCTAGACCCTGCATAATGTGAATCGTCTTCTGGAAACAAAAACAGGAGCCATCAGCCAGGGGAAATGCTTGTGTTTTTATATAGTTGCAATGAGAGTGCTCAGGCAGGACCAAGCAGGGATCTTTTATCCCAGGCACCATGCCAGGGCAACGCTTCCTCTCCCATGCTTTGCTGAGGCTTTAAAATAATAAGGGAGAGAAAAAAGGTACCGGTGTTAAGCGACCTGAGAGAGTACAACCACCTAGGCCACAGTTCGTGCCCAGAAACACTGATTTAGGTGATAAAGCCACTGCACCAGTGGGTAGTGAAGCTTAAGTGCCCCACTTAACGCACTGTCAGGACGAGGATGGATTTTAAGCAGGTTTGTGTGATTTTATGTAGTCAAAAGATGACACTGACGTAACATCACTGGACAAGTCACAGCCTTCAAATATCACCAGCCCCTCATACGAAAGTTCTTCTGTACTCACTCCACCAGAACCTACTTATGATCTTTTCTCAGTAAGTGTTCATTTTGATTTGAGATTGAGACACAACTAAAATCATTCAAAGAGGGAATGACTTTATGAAAGGAAAATGTCTAGCTGGCAAAAAAAGAAAAATTCATCTGGGCAAACACCATTCGAGTTCCTGGCTTTCCTGTCTCACCACTGCTACAAACTGGGGCTGTGGTCTACAGCTGTATCTCAGTTCTTCCTTCAAAGAGAGCTGAATTAAGTTGGACTTCAAATGCTACCAGATGCCAGTGACATGTCTACACGAACTTAAAAAGCCTTCCAAAACAAAGAAGTCTTCCCTTCTCTTTGCTGCAAATGCAGCTGAGTGCCATGCCAGCACTCTGCAAAGAATCTGAAATGCAACGGGAAGGGGGCTGGGAAACAAGGGAAGGAAAGATTGAGCAAAGCTAGAATACGTGAATAGCCTTGACGGTCCAGTTTAGCAAGACCCTCATGTACATGCAGAGTCTAAAATCAAAATAAACTTTTTTGCATCCAGTAAAAAGACTTGCCAGGTATAAAAATGTCAGGTGCAAACTCTGCCATCTGTATGGACAAATTTGCCAAAAAGCAACTTTATTTCTTAATGCAACATTCGAGTCTGATTTTCTTTTTCTTCTATTTTATAGGATTCGGATGACCAGCAGCTTGTGATGAGTGGTCCTCACGATCAGAATTAAAGGCTGAATTTGGCATTAGTCAATTACAAAACACATTTCTATTTACACTTACTGTGAAAAAACAGCACCTACGTGTTTCAGGGAATAAAATGTCATTACAAATTAAAAACCAAAAGAGCACAACTTTATTTAAGATGCAGTCTGTCGAGTTCACAGTTACCAACCTCAGAAGGTTGCTGTACCTGAGCAACATCAACTAGGAGTGCCAAATGCAAGACCGAGTCTCAACCTACCCAGAAGCAGACGGACACTTCTGAGTGAAGAGACTTTCACTAGCCTGCTATTTAACTGGTTTTATTCTTCTTCACAGACTTTAAAATGGCCTCAAACACACAGCTAAGTTGGCAAATATCCTCAATTTGCTAGTACTCCAGCTCTACACTTTTATTTTGGCTCAGTTACAACTACAACTGGCAAGTGTGAAACAGAACATGCATTAAACCTGTATTTTTAAGCCGAGGAGATTTTTTGCTAGCATACTTTCTTGTAAGAATTTCAGCAGCAGGAAACGCAACCATCCTGTCTACCCTGCCTGCCCACTCTAGCTTTTCTCTCTTTCCTCCAGCTTGACCGTGTTTTGTTTATATCTCACCTCACTGTACAAAGGGAAATAGTAATTGTAGCAGCTTTAGCAAGAAATATTGGTGATATGAGGGTATTCGAATAGTAATCAATTTTTACTTGAGCTATTTTTGTGAAAACTGGACAAGGAAGATGATGTACTTGCCATCTCATGTCCACATTCAGACTTCTGGGTCCGTGAGGACCAGAAGCTACCTGGTTGTTCATGTACCGTAATTTTACCAAGCACATTAACATTGCTTTTCAACTGACACACAGCAATAAGAGCCGAAATTTTCACCATGCTATTAGAAGTGAATCGAACTTGAGTTTGCTTCACTGTCGTTTCCTTCCCTCAAAACATTAATATCATGGCAAATCGTGAGAACACTATAGAAACCACAGAACAGCAAGAAAAGGAATGTTTTCTTGCTGGCAGCGGTAACGTTCCCCTACGAGAGGCTTCCTGGTGTCCACCATGCGTGGGGGGCAGGAGGGAAGGTGTCGCCGCAGGAAAGCGTTAGTTACCTCCGAGAGCAACCCCAGGATGCCTCTTACCAGAACACGGCGTGCAGGCAAATCCACAGCTGTGGATGCAGCTATCAAGCACAACCAAGGGAATACAATGAGTAAATGTGCCTGGATGAAAGAGAGACTGAAGTAATTTCCCTAACTCCTTCCTTTGCCCCCCTACACATGCCTAATTGTTTTTACCTATAAGATATTAAAAAATTTAGAACACACACACACACACTTAAACACCCACACATATTTAGGGGAGGCTTCCCCTGAGTTTTGCAATTAATACAACTCATGTTCTTTCATTCTCCCCAGTTACCCAAAATATTAAGGCTCGTAGGGACTAGAAGATAAAGTCCAAGCATTTATTTTTGTAATAATCATTAAATATTTTTATCACAAAAAATGTTTCCACAGTTCATTAAACTCTTCTTTTACTGACACAGTATTCTCTTCAGAGTTTTTGATAGAACAGAAAGAAAATTTCTTCTTGCTTTGGTGTTCAAATAAACTATATTCCCAAAATGAATGTAAAGAGACACTGCCCTTCAAACATGCTCAAAAAATCTCTTCAAAGTCAGTAACATAACAAGGTTAAAGTAAGTAATGCAGAAAGCGCCGAGGTGTACAGCTCAAGTTCTCTGAAATCACTACAAAAATGCAAGACATTTTTAAAGAAGAGCATTCTAACACTGAAAAATAAATAATACACTTTAAAATTCTCACTTAATTTCGTATTATATATAGCTGGGTTGTTTTAAAGGAACATAACCCTCCCATAATGATTTTTTTTTCATGCAATGTTATTTATTTCAAGAAGTCATGCAATATAAACAAGATTTTACTTCAGCTGGCTTTTGTAACATAGCTTTGTACAGAAGTTTGATTTGTAAGTTAAGAGAAAGGAAGGGGGGGAGGAGAAAATCATCTTGACACAAAATGCGTATTATGTGGGTAACATCACCCAACCCAATTAAACTGTTCCTGCTTAACACAGGAAAATTAGGCAAACAAACTGACTCCAGCCAGCTTTAAAAGAAGAAACATCACAGAGCTATAACCAACAAAACATGATCAAATTCAATAATGCAGAACTGAAAAACACAATACCATTATTTGCCGGTAGTAAGATGAAGACTGTACAGTGGTTTGGGTTTGGGTTTTTTTTAAACAGTGCATTGAAATCTCCGAAGCATGAGAGGTGCTACACACACGTAGCACCAAGTTCAGTTCTAGCTGAGCATTAGGATAAAGAACTGAAGGCAAATCAGGGATATTTCCATTCCCACATCTCATTATCAAGTTACGCTAAATATTTCTCGCACAGCCCCACCAAGAAGTCTCCTGATAAAGCCAAACTAACTTCCTGCAAAACTTTATCTTCTTCTTCCAGCGAAACAGCAGGACTGTCAGATGAACTTACTCATTTCAAGTATATTCCTCTGTTTAAATACACACACACACACTTCAGGAGTGTTGCACATCAAGTTTGAAACAGGAACACAAGAAAACCAGGAACATAAAATCTATAACTGCCTCTGAGGACTTCAGACTGAATTCAAGCATACAGGAGAACTGCTTATGAAACTGTGCAGACTAGATTAGAATACATTCTTTACTTTGCACCATGCTTTTAAAAATATGAAAGATACTGCATATGAAATTCATTATAGGTACTTGCACATGATACAGACAGGTTAAAAAAAAAACCAAAAAAACAAAAAAACAAGAAAACTTTTGGTCACCAAAAGTTTATTTACCTGACAATCGTGGTAGGAAGCAAATGATATCCCAAAATGAAGGATACCAAATGCTATATATTTTGTTAATCATACGCTTTTAAAACAGAGCCTTTAATAACTAAAATTTGAAAAATATTAATCATATTATGCCTTCTAACATGGCTGGGGTGGGAAGCACCAGTAAAAAAAAGTTTCCTTTGGATGCAGAGAAAGGAAAGCATCCTTATTTAAAAACAACTGTATAGCAGTTCTATAAAGTGCCTGTTTGGGGAAAACATCAACAGATGTTTTCCTTGTGCAAAATAGACATTTTTCAGCTCAAATCTTTGGAACATATATGCTACCCAGAGTTTGTGTTCATGCATTACCTGTAATATCAGTAATTCAATAAAACTTCTAATCTGCACTGCCAAAATTGTTTTGATTGATGCAAACTGTCCACTACCCCCAATTCAGCTTTGAGGGCTTGAGCGAAAAAAACGTCATCAGAAAACTCTGGTTTTCATTTCCTCATTTCCTACTTTGTCTTTCAACTCACTTGCCCATTGTGCGTGTTTACTTTTGACTGTAAAAGTCCGTTACTGAAGGCTATATGAAATACATTCTCTCCCAGGGAACAGCAAAACCACATTGCATACCACAGTAAGACACTTAAAATTTTAAAAAGCAGCATTTAGGATCAATCTAAAGCCTGACAGAGATCTGTCTCCACTTTGAAATGCAAAATGCAAGACCTCTTGAAATGGCTTTATATCAGAGTGTTTGAAATGTTTTGAAACTTAAGAAGAAAGGTGCCTAAAAGTTAACAAAAAGGAAGCTGAAGCAGCCCCAGTTACTGCCACTTTCAGTTTGAGGCTCAGGTCCACCTACAGCCAAGCACAGACATTACAGGAACAGAAACTGCACAGACGGGATCAAAAAGCCCCCATCAGCCTGAGCCTGTGCTGTAATCACTGCAGTGCAGCAGAGCCACACCACCACTACGCAGCGGTTACTTCAGTTACAGGTAAGGCTCTAGCTATGGCAGCAAGGGAAGTTACAATGCGTACACCATCCCTCTCAGTCTCACCATAAACTGGCTACTAACTGCATATCACTCAATTACTAATGCTGGATTTAAGCTTTTCAGTGCCAAGATCCATTTCAGGCTCCAGCTGGAGTTCTGATCAGGGCCCGAACAGAGAGTATAGGTATTTCTTTGTAAACCACAAGGCTGCAGATTGAAAGTTCCAATGAACGAACAAACAAAACCAACTACCCTGGAACACCACCAGTCCTTCCCCTCAGATTTGCCCTCCCTCCCTCCCAGCTCACTACTATTTTAGCAGTCCATCATCTCTTCTGTGTGTAAGAGGAGTTTTCACATCTCCAAGCAGGAGTGGAGAAATTGGGTACAATGCTTACGAGAACAAGTATGAATTACAGCTAAATCAAGGTAACAGATTTTAAGTGACTTAAATAAAATACATGTACATTCAAAAATTTTAAAAAGAAGATATATTTGCCCATGTTAGAGAGAACAAGCCAAGTGCTTATTTGATCTGAACTGTCTCTTGTAGGAAAGGTATTCTGAATGTACCAGTGCACAGCTGGTCTGACCAGCCAGGAAGTTCATGCTGCAAAGGAGTCCTTCGTGGATAAAACGTGTAATCAGGCTCATAGTTCAAGAGACAACTCAATGATGCCATGTAGATATCTGCAAATCTAGAGAGACGTCTTAGGAAATAAGTTGGATTCTCATCAGTTCTGAATAAGCTTCCAAACTGTGCATTGAAGAAATTCCTGTTCATCTCCCTGTCCCCAAAAAAAAGGAAAAAAAAAAAAAAAAGAGAGTGAACATACCTGCACACATCTCTTTACCAGCTAGCATCCAGAACTTGAAGCAAGCAGTTCCTATAATCTATTCTATGCATTATTCTCTTGCCATTTCACTTCAAACCACTTAAATGCACCACATGAGAAATTTTTGCATCTCTTGTGCATATGTAGCCCAGATCTAGCAATCACAGTAGTGAATAGAAGAGCTTCACACTTCTCCCACTAAAACCAGGGATAAGTTGCTTCTGACTTCAGAAACATGACATCTCAAGCTTTCCTTTCTAGAGATTGTAAAAGATGACTTCTGCCTTCATCTAAATCCTAATGACATCCACTTGTCCCAAAGATAAAAGATGTTTT